TGTGTGTGTGTGTGTGTGTGTGTGTGTGTGAGAGAGAGAGAGAGAGAGAGAGAGAGAGAGAGAGAGAGAGAGAGAGAGAGAGAGAGAGAGAGTAAACAGCATCATGGAGGGGGGTGGAAAGCACAAAGGCTCTGTGAGCACCAGTTGGGTGCACAGACTTCATAAGCGCTCCCACTTCCCTTCTTTATCCCCCAAACCCACTGTTCCCCCCACAATGCACAGTCAGGGAGTGCAGTTTTGCGCCTCCTTGGAGCCCTGCACCAAGCGCCCTGTTCCCCTCCGGCCCCCCCGAGTCTACATAACTCGAGTCCGAGTGCTAGAAGCTCACCCACGATCGACATCATGAGAGCCTTCCACACGGGTGTTGCTTTCTGCAAGGCTGTGCCGCCTTGGACTTCTTCGCCTTTTTCTGCTCTTTCCCAACATTACACCATTCTTTGTCCCCCACTTGTCCCACACTTGTCCCCCACTTGTCCCCCACTTGTCCCACACTTGTCCCACACTTGTCCCACCTTTTTCCTGCCAGTTTCCAGTCTTTCCCAGCTTTCTCCGAATGGTGTTTCGCCATTGTCCCACACTCATCCAGCCTTTTTAACGCCTTTTTAATACTTCTTTCTAATGACATTCAGTACCATTGGAACACACAGAAGAGGTGATTCTCTCAGAGATGCATTACAGCTACCATAATGGCCTGTCCCAACTTCTCCGTCCAGGGGCATACTTATAGCTGTATTTAGGGTATCTTTCAGTCTAAATACAAAATGCATCCGATTGCAATTACGGCCGCCAGACCTGGAAGAATCTGACTGCAATCACGTCCAGAGCTATGTATGTGAGAAAAGTTCTAGAGAGTGAGCATGCCCTCAGGCTGACGACCATATTCCCCCCAACGCAATGCACCGTTTTTACCCCCTTTTTCCCAAATGCATCTGACTGCAATCACGGCCCAACGCGGATGAATCTCACTGCAATTGATGTGCAATCACATCCGGAGCTTTTTTGAAAAAGTCCTAAATTAAATGCGTCTATGCCCTAAGGCTCACTTCTGCATTCCACCAACACAACACACCCCTTTTACGGGCACTGGGCCCCTTAAAAAAAAAAAAAAAAAAAAAAAAAAAAAAA